CATGGTGCATACATTTAAAGTAAAAAGAAATTAAAAACACAGAGAACTATTTTGGTTATTGGGGCTGCAGTCAGGATCCGTGCCGCCTTTCATTTGGGGTCCGGGTTAGCCTGTGTCTTTACGGAAAACCGATAGGATCATTTGTCGCAGTGGACATTTTTTTGGGGTCTTCACTTTTATATCCTCTAACCCTCAGGATATTTTAAGAAATGTAAAATGACCGTCTTCCTCAGAATCAGATCAGAAATCAGAAACAGGTTTATTTCCAGGTAGGTTCGTACATACTAGCAATTTGACTTGATGTCATGGTGCATACATAAAATAATTCCTGTGTCCAACCTCGGCAGCGATGGCAGGTTTATCAACAATCGTGCCACGTTCAAAGACAGAAAGCCTTTTTGCCATTTTTAAGGGTATGGTCTTATACTTTTTATCAGCAGTTTTCCATATATTGCCTACGACTACATGTGCTGCATTTCTCAGCAGTTTTTAATATCATTGTATTTAAGTAGCCTAGTTTTTGTTCTTCCTATGAATGTGGCAGATGTCACTTATTTTCTATTTTCACATTTATATTGTTTTCTCATGACTGAATGATTTTTGCCGTCTGCTTTAATATCTGACGCTGTGCACATGTAACTTCTTTTGAATTTGTTTCATAAAATGTTTCCAAACATAGAGATGCTTTGACCTCATAATTCGTACATCATGAATCAATGTTTTTTCGAGCTTTTATGGATTTTCAATAGAATAAATAAAAGTTAATCATCATGCAGGGCTGCAAACTGTTTTACTTTTTCATAATTGTAAGAATCACACACCTTTACTTTTACTATTCACGTTATTTAACAGTTAAACATGTTTTGAGGTGAACAAACGCTGACTTTATTTTGCTGCCAGTTTTGCTTTTATATTTGACTAAATCTACTATTTTATAATGCTAAATAATCTGTGACTCTGAGCCTGCAGAAACAAGACAAAAGACGTCGCTCCATCCCTCTCAGGCTGATATTGCTATAAAAGATGGCCCGATAGCACTCAGGAGCAGCCCCCATCCCAGAGTCACGAGAGTCTGCCATCTCGCGCCTGCCATCCAGCAGGAGCAGCCCAAGAAACACAGGACTACACCAGCCGATGCGGACCAGAGGGCGCATCGCTGAAGCAACACATCCGCGGGATCAACAACCCGCGTTTAGTCCTTATCTGGGGTTATTTGTTAATCAAGAGCAATAGGAGTTAGACTTTAGAGGCCCAGAAGGAAGAAATGCCATCCTGAAAATAGCAGTGAATTAAACGATAGTGGTGGCATGGGCATCCCAAGCACATACTGAATGAACCATATTCAGAAATAGCAGCAGAACTACACTGATCAATCAAATCAGAAATTAACATAGTAAGCATCCAGAGTAGCTGTTATGCGTCTGAAATAGGCAGGATTGGATCATTGTTTAATATTCGCCTGAGTTTGATCATTTCATTGATAAATTCATCAGTTGTTTTTGCCCCCCTATAAATATTGCAGATACACAAATTGTTTCTGGCATGCCCTTTGAAAACTGTGTTCGAGCCGTTGATGACAGATAGGGCGACTTGCAGGCTTGTTCCAGAAGAACCANCTACCCAAATCATGCACGTCTGCAGAAACACTTACTATTTTTAAATCGAGACTAAAAACATATCTCTTTGCCGCTGCTTTTAATTGAGATGATCATATTCAAACTACAGTATGCCTTTTAAACATGTATTGTATACCTGTGGTGTTTATTTGTATTATTTTATTATCTTTGCTTTGCAATGCCTGTTGTAAAATGCCATTATATAATAATTTTTACTGTATTTATTCCTAAAAAGTATTTTACAGATTTTTTTTTTTTACAGAAAAGTGCTATATAAATAAACTTGCCTTGCCTTGCCTTGCCTTGCCTATTGTTGACCAGTCATTTTTTTGATATTTTTGCAGAAAACAGCTGCCTGCTGAAGATGAGTGAGGTACAAAGTTGAAGGCCAGAAAACCACAAAAATTGGCAAAAACATGCTGAAATGTTAGAGCTAAGGCAAACAAAAGATTGGATGTAGTGATGACAATACTCAAATTAAAGACTCCCTGCAGCACGTAGTAGCCTGACCAAGATGTTGACATGACTACAACATTAACCCATTAACAACCATCAACAAATCGCCACAGCTGTGTCAGGTCTCAGCCAATCCGGACAGCTGGGAAGGATCAGCTCGACCCATTCAGTGAAGCGGACATCGCCAGGACTCTCCTCAGGGGAAAGACAGAATGGAGATAGACGTAAAGCAGAGGCAGCAGAGGGATTAACAAATCTGTGAGAATCCAACTTGGTTTCCATTGTATTTACAAACAACTACATTATTTGATGAGGGAAAGTTTGCGTAAGAATCTTAGGCCTTGGGAAATTAACATTTTAAACATGCACGCAATGTGTCTCTCAACAAGTGAGAGACCAAAACAAAGGGGAATTTATAGCCACATGTCTGGTTTCTCGGAAGTAGAATCTAATCTTTAACAGTAATACATGCTTTAATAGCCAAATCAGTGTGGACGAGAAAGGTTTTTACAGTTCGTCATTAGCATACCGGATGTGTAAAAGATGTAGGAAAAAGAGTATTGTTTTTTTTCAATTTCATCTTGTGTTAATAGAGAAAGCACAAACAAAGGTTAAGGTTTGACTGCGACTAGAAGTCCTTCACTTTAATGGCACTGCCGTTATCACTTCGTCACTGAATGACCAAAACCCTTTCCTTCACATCCAGCTGACGCAGAGGAACAGCGAGAGAGGTGGGGGGGGTAAAGGAATAGAATGGTGGTCTGCTAAGTGCTGATCCCGTCATCCGACTTTTGCATCCTTCAGATGTGGAATGTGGGACTTCCTCTCGCTGCGCTGCGTTTCCTGTACCGAGAGGTCAGACCTACTGTAAAGTTGGTCTGGTAAATTCTCAGCGCATGCCAGAGTGCCATTCCTTTCTTCACCTTTTTTTTAAAGATCGTCTCCCTCAGGAGTAGCTCTTTACTGGTAGACGGGGAGTTTTATAAGAGTCCATTTTTGCCCTTGAGTTTACCACATCATACTGCTGAACTGAGACTTGTATAGTTCCTATGAGCACTCTATAAAGTTTCTCATTAAACATACATTTGCTTTACAAATGTACAAGGTGTTCTAAAGATAGCTTTTTGTAGTCAATTAATTTTACACATGTATTCTGTGCAACTGTTCTTTAACACAACAAATATCCTATAGAAATTGGCCTTGCCGGCGCCCTTGCTCAGTCATATCCATGTTCGTATTGATCCTTCAATTTTAACTAGACATCTGAAAATTGTATTGACCCAAAATCTGGACAAGGGTGTAAAGTAAAAATATATCCCTGAAAAAAAGAGTTAGGAAAATAAAAAACTAGACCTAGAGCACCCGATTCAACTTGGAACCATAACTATCTCACTGTTTTTCTTTTCTTTGTGTTAGATCTTCATGGACGTTAAAGTCCAATTCTTCTCCAGATATTCTTCCATACTCAGTCAACTAGTACAGCACAGTGCTGAGGGCATGCGTAGTGTAGCTAAGGTGTTTATGTATGTCAGCTCCTCTAAAAGCCTGTGTGTACTAAGGTTAGTCAGAAAGCACTTCTTCATTCAAAGCATGTTTGGTCACAGATGAAACCCTGTTTGTTTTTTCACTCCTAAACATGTCTGGCCAAATGTTGTTGAGAGTAGGCGTTGCCTGTCTGATTCTGAAAGTTACAAAACGTTATGGATGTGAATCCCCCTGCCCAACGATCAGAAAGCTATCTGATGATCTGAGCAGCACGTGTCTGAAGCATAAAGCAGCCGTTAGTCATGCAGAACACCGGTTATTCCCTGAGTTTGTTATCTCAATGTGTTTAGTCTATGTCTGTCTCTTGAGTTAAAAACCCTCGGTCCCTCTCTCTTTCGTTTCTCAGCTTAATGGGTCCGCCACACTCCAGACACACCTGCCCCTCTGACCCTCTCTTTAAGGGGTTAATGGTGTGAATTTCATCGCTTAAACTGTACGGAAGTGAGAGAATTATTTCTAACTAATGACTTTCAGCAGCACAGTCTTACATAAGGCTGAAGGCTGAAACAGACTCATACATTCAACATTATAACATTTTCATGTTGCACTGTTGTGATGCTTTTGTTTCCTAGAATAGGCCATGAGTACACATGATGCTGTTTGTTGGAGAATAAATTAAGGATGGATGTTTGCAACTACATTTGATATATTTTGTTCCGTCAACAAGAATCATTATAAGAACAAAAACCATTATAAGAAAAAGCCACAACAATGTGCCAATCCCTCTATAAATGCTTTTTTAATTTCCTAACATGTGACCCACAGCGCATTGGTTACAACACAAGATATACATGTTTCAAAACAGGTCACAAAAATATCAGCTCACTAGTTGCCCAGTGCCTAACTACTCGAAAAGCTTTGAGTGTCAACATATTAGAATAGGCATGTTTAAATATGTTTGGTCTAATAAATAGCCTAAAGTTTTGTATGAAATGAAAGCTGCAGAACATCACCTGGTGAGGGCTTTGACGGTTCGACCTATTTTCAGATATCATGTGATTAAGGAAAGGCACACTCTGACGGCTTACATAAAACATGTAACATAAAAATAAAATAATTGATTATGTTGCAAATAGCATTTTATGGTAATTTAGGCTTTAAGTTTTGTTGCCGATTTAGTTAACGTGTATACTACTCAACTATGCTCCCTGGTGGTCAGGGATAAGATTAGGTAGAATTATTTGATGACTACAGCCATTGTTTCAGCTAGTTAGAGAAAGGTTTGCACTCTTAGCAACCAAGGTATTGAAATTGCATTTGGCAGAGGCATTTTGAAAACATCACATGTACTCATGACCTAGTTTGAAGAGGAAGAGCTGGTTGACACAGGGGTTAAGGAAGATGGTGATAGATAGAGAGGGAACAGTAGTTACAGTTTGGACTTACCCTGGCACCTTTCTCTGGGAAACATTTACAGCCTCCGCTGCAGTCTCTTCCTCCACAGGGGCCACTGTGCTTCTTCCCACCCTGTCAGACAAAAAAACAGACAACATGAACGTTAGAGCTGGGTTATAGGAAGTCATGGTATATATGTCACATACTGTATACAGGAAACGTAAAACTATTCGCTTTCCACTCAATTTACAAGAATACAGTAGAGATAAGTCCAGCTGTTGTAGCCTACTTTCCTCTTTGTGCATTAGATGGCACAGGGTGTGGGATAAACTGTTGTTTACTGTAGGTGTTACCGGCTGTGTTTGTGTACACTGTGGTGTATGTGAATACGCTTGATGTTTATGTGTGGAAGATTGTTTTAGAATTGTCTGCACTGCTGTGTATAGTGGTCTTGTGTGCAAAGAGGATGTTTTGCATGTGGCTTCAATGACTCATGACGCGCGTCCAGACATAATGGATGTGCATAAAAATGCTATTCATCAGATGGGCTGGGACCGGCCTGTGACGGGGACTATATTTCTTTAGAGGTCTGCATAGCAACAAAACCACCCACCATCACAGACTGTTCTGTGCTCGACACGACAATCACACACACACGTCCACAGGGTTCAGCGGGTTCATGACATGATCAAGGACAGCAGTCACACAAATGGGGTTTCCCAACCCGCAGGTCAGAGGTCTCGAGACCCCGAGCTAGCGGAGATAGCTGGAGACATTCATGAAAACAGAACGGCGTCTTGGGCAACGTTTGTGTTCATGTGGTGTTTCAAATCAAAATCACATGCAAAATCCAAGTTTGCTTCTGGATTCTTTGCCGTGACAGCATTTGTCACTCATTAGAAGCAGAAACAGCCTTGACAAAACTGTAGCAAAACAAACCTGTTGAAAACCGCACCTTAACCCACGATACATTGCAAATCAGTGATCCAAATGTTCTTAAAATAGATTGTTGGGTTAATCAGTGACTGCTTAAACCCCCAGCACGGTTTGAATGTAGGACTGGAAACCTAATTAAAATATTCCATTGAACTCTCTCATTGAGTCTGAGAGAGATTACTAATGAAACACACACGCTCTCACATGCAAAACTTTCAAAAATAAATCCAGACACTTAAAATTACCACTGCAAAGCTGACTTTCAATAAGTGTTTTAACATAAAATAACAATTGTATTGCTGTGTGTCACAAACATAAGGGCCAACAGCTAACATGGTAGGGTGTAAGAGTCACATCTAGACTCCATCTGTAGGTATAATCTTTAAAATGATACAGCTACATTTGAAAACTTATAGTAAATGATTTTGCGGCTCGAGAGTGCGACATACTTTAAGAATGGCTGGTTAAGGGGATTGGGTGCAAAGCTCCGTTAGTGGCTGTCTATTACAATGTATAAGTGAAACTTTGACTAGACATGCTAAGGCTCCATGTAGTCGGAGATGACGTCTCTCTTTTGTGTTTGCCTACACAGTGCTCCACCTACTAAGCCATACCATAGCAAATGCTTCAATACCCTCCCTTCTTAAACAAATACAAAATCAAAATGGCCACTTTATGGCCACAATGGCAACAAATATGCAGAGAAAGAATCAGAATAATTCCCCCTCCTCACTTTGACAGCAGAGATCCCAGCAGACTCTCTTACAATGGCCACATTCAGACACTCTTAGCACACAAAGACCTTCTTTGACTATGGAGACGTCGTCCTTTAATGATCCCCTATCTCCACAACAAAAAGACCCTCTTCCTCTCTTTTATGGAATGCACAAGGCTGCATTTCTTGGTTAACTACCAGAGGATCTGAGGGGATCCTTTCAAATGTTTGATATAGACATGAAGTGATGGGTTTAATTTAGCCTACATGCCATGGTGGCAGATTTACTCTGTCCTTAGACAGCATTTGTTACTTATATCCTGATGCTTTGAAATATGGTATATCCAAGCATCCTCTTTAGGGAATACCTCTATGTTTAGTTTCAAGTAGAGAAGGTCATGTCATCCCAATAAGGATGTAAGAGAGTCATAGCGTGACCTTTCTCCACGTCGAGGTGGAAGTCCGCAACCCAGACAATAGACTGCTCTGGAAAGAATCACAAAGGAATGGCTCCCATAAAGGCAATTACAAATGATTGTGCTATGCGTCATGAATTACACTTTAGAGTTAACAAGTTCAAAATAGATGATGTCTGTTTTAGTAAAGGACAATAGGAATGTGCTACAGTATCCTGTTTTCTCCACCCACAGTCACAATGACCCACTGATCACTTTTTTGTCAGTGTGAAAGAAAATAAAACAAATTTGTTCACACTGACTTATTACAAACGAAAAAAGAGACAGTTAGCTTGAAGTTAGATGGATTGTTAACTCATTGATATGTCAGTTTATTTATCCTGTATCATCAAATCTATGGGACCATGTCTTGTAGTATTGAAACAAGGCAGAGCCACAGCACGATAATTATGATAAATGGTTAGATCAGATGAAGAACTACAAATCCCTTTAATGCAAACGTACTGTTAAATGCAACAAAGAGAAATACCGCATGAATTGAGACACCCCATAGGGTCTTACAGATGTGTCATACATTTGACACCATTGTTGTAAGATGTAGTGAAAGAGGACCAATCCTGATTCTCAACATGCAAAACAGACTAAAACAGACTTAATCTGTAAGCCATAGAGACCAGAAGATACAGCTAGATGTCTGCTGGTGATTATTCATGCCCACCTCTCACATTTTGAAATACAAAGTATAGATTATAACTCACTCCAATGACTTTGTTATGAAAATTGTAAGACCACGGTGTATATCATTTAAAACGACAAACCAGGTAGCAAACCCCAGTTAGCTGTGTTCATTTGTCTCTTTATCTAGTTTACATTAGGGCTCCCCGGTGTTGACCATCTTTTTCGTCCTGCTAACTACCTTCAGTAGTCTGGACTGCCACTACAGTCATCTGCTATGCTTCAAAATTGCAATCATGTGCATAAATGTAAACATGCTTTCCACAAAAAGCCACCCACTTTTCATTTATATAAATGAACCTGTAAACCACTCAGACCACACATGAATGTTAAAAGAGAAATAAAAACATTCCTTGGAAGACAGATTAGAAAATTAGGAGAGAAACAATATGCTGTTTTCCCCTAAGAGCCTACATGGTGTCTCCTGAGCCAAAAAAATCCTATTACTCTCTTGCCAAGTTCCCAAGTTTTAAAGTATGTCTGGAGGGTGTATATTAGTTTATCCATTGCTATAAGCATAGCCACAAGAACAAAATAAGCATTATTGTGGAAAACAATTAAGGATTGTTTGTCCCTTAAAGAAACACACCACATTTAGAGAAATACACTTATTTGCCATCATAAAGTTCAGAGGGTTCAGCTTACCCAGAGCAAATAAAACTGTAATAGAATAAGTCAATATTTATGATTTATATCAGTCTGTGAAAATAGAGCCAGTGAGGTCACATTTGTATGATAGATGTCTGTTACTGATACTGTATCTATGTCTGTCAATGTATGTTTAATGAGTAGGGGCGTCTACTGTAGAGGCAAACAGTTCACATGTATATTTATTTTTAACAGCTACCTGCCTTAATCAGTTTTTCCTGTCAAAGTGCTGGATAAAGATAACCTGGAGTTTGAGTTTTTAGAATAGTTCAAGGTCTTCAGGAGACAGTGGTCAGATTAATGCTTTTCTTAATGAGGAAATATGTTTTTGCTGCCTCCCTGTTCTTTATGGCTGCACTGGAGCCTCACTCACAATGTCCTTCAATGTACAGTAAATTAAATAAATCCAGCTGGGTCAACAGCACTCTTTCTCACGCTCATTTTTTTCTTTCCTGCTGGTACTCATAAATGCATTTTTGATAATAATGCTTGGAGAGACTTTGACTTTTAAAGACCTATGTAGGTAGGGTTAATGGATGATGCAGTGAGCTTGGATTTCTCTGATGTGTATAATTGCCTTGATAAATACAAAGGATGACCAAACTACATGCAGACATGATGATGGTTGGCTTGTGGATTTGTATGTGGTCAGAGTGAGTCACTGTAATATATACAGCAGGTTAACCGCAGACATGACCACTTCCTAGCACTTCTGGATGATGTCAAATGTAGCAAATATCAACACAGCTTGACAGTATGTTTAACTAAAAGACTGAAAAACTAAAATACACATGCAAAGAAATAAGGAAGGATTTGAGATGGGCAAAAAGTATGGCAATGGCCTTCAGCTAGCACTTACTAAAACCAAGACACCCAAAGCACAAGGTTTATGGTATTCCAGAGCAATAAGGAACCTGCATGATGATGACTAAAATAATTAGAGTCAAAAACCTTTGAAATGTATTTCATATGTATATTTTAAAACGTATGTAATGCACATTAGTGCATAAAACAACCATGAATGGAATTTAGAAAATGCACTCATTGCCTCTCGTCTTGCAAATGGCAAACAGGGCATAAAACACAAAAAAAGACGGGAGTCCATGATGTTGACACGCAGCTGTACATTCCACATCTATCATGGTATTACTCACTTAAACATCCCGCGATACCTAGAGATTAATAATCTAAAAACATAATTCAGAAATGTGCGTGCTGACCTTGACTGAAAGGAGTGACGTTGTTGAGACACAGAAGGACACATTTTAGATAACATCTCCAGTTTCCTCCTAAAACCTCAATTACTTGTTTGCAGACCACAGCCAATTTTAACACTCTTTTTGTCACACGGATAGTATTTCTTACTCGCTGTTGCTTAGACATCAAATCATTTACAGGTAAACTGTGAGGCCACAGGAATATATCTTGTAACAGAATCACTCTGAGCCCAAGGTGGTGGAATTGACAAACTGCCTATTTTGAGATGGTTACTCAGTTTTCACACATGAAACGAAACAGTGAAGCATAAACAGTGTTTGTGTGAGACCCCACCTTGTGTTTGAGGTATCAAATGAACAGAGATCACAGACTATTGCAGGTCAGGATGTTTGATCTGGGATAGGTGGTGACATGGTTTCTACCCGTCAGTAACTCAGCCTATAAGGAGGACAGAGGAAACTGAG